CTTTTGTTGCCAGTTCAGGGAGTCCAGATGGTTGAGTATCAGAGTGTTCCATCTCATTTCCCTTTGGGGTTGCTGTAGGTGATTTGGAAGTCTGGTTTTGAGACTTGTTTAGGTGTCTTCTCATTTCAACAGATTCAGCCTTCTGTGCCTTTGTTGAGGCAACTTTTTGCTCATCCAGTGGTCTTCAAATCTCAGTGAGTCACTGAACAGCTGCTCACCAATACACTAATTCCTGGGTTCCAAATGGTGGCCTTCTGGATCCCTGAGCTGACCTGTTGTCTGGGCGGTCTTCTGCCTGGGGCCTGTGCACACTTGGGATGTTATCTAGGTGTTCCTCTGGCTAGGACCCCTATGTAGATGTCTTCTGGGAGGACCTTTGGCTGGAGGCTGTGAACCCCAGTTCCTGTTGTGTAAACTTCTGGCAAGGGTCTTGTATACTTTCCAGTACTGGGGTGAACCTCTGGCTATTGCTTGTGCACCTGTGCAGCTCTTTTCTAGGCAGGCCCTTGGCTTGGGCTGATGTGCCCGAGCCTCTATGGTTGGGGCAGAGCCCTGGCTGAGATGTGCTTGCAGCCGCACCACTCTGGTCCACTTCACTGGACCCCCAAGTAAGGTTCTCTGGTGTGCCTTTATTGCAGATATTTTTTTTCACTTTTCCAGTGGGCTTCAATTTTCATCGAGGAGCCTCAGAGAGGCCCTCTTTCTGTTGTTCACTTCTGCTCTATCTTCTGGAGCTCAGAGCAATGTCCTTCATGACCCCTGCAACTCTGTGATGTGGATCCAGGTGATGGCTCGGCACAGCCATGGGGGTGTGTGGTGTGGTGCTGTTCCTCGGTGCTCTGGGGTGGTGGTATGATGGCCCAAGAGGCTCACCTCCTCAGCACTGGGCGGGCTCTGCTCCTTAGTTTTATTCTTTTTTTAAATCCCTTTCTCTACTGCTTTCCTCCCTCCTCCTCTAGATCCCTTTCCCCCATTTTGGTTCTTGTTGATATTATTAATCTTATTTCATGTTTATGACATATAATCTTTACATTCATTTAGGGTATTAGGTTCCTATACATGGGATATCTTTATTCTATTTATTTGTGTACGAGCTGTGACTGAAAAATATAGTAAATATTTAATATTTTAAAAATTATTACACTAAAAGACACATTGCTGTTGATCCCCCTCAAAATACCTACCCCCTCAACTTTGAACTTTGATCCCATCATTCTTGCCACTTTCAGAAGCAGTTCTGGAAATTCTTTCTTTGAGTGTCTCTAGTTGTTTTGTGGTGGCTGCTTTAATATCTTGAATTAAAAACATTGTATTTGACTTTAGGGAAGAACAGAAGTCATACAGTTCCAGATCTGGCAAATAAGGTGGGTGAGAAAACACTGTAATATTTTTACAAGCTTGCTTTTATTGCCAAGGATTAACTTGGCAATAGCATTCACAGTAATTTTCTTGGTGGGGGAGGACAGGTTCTCACTATGTAGTTCAGGCTGTCTTTGAACTCACTATATAGCATAGATTGGTCTCGAACTTGCAGTGATCCTCCTGCCTTAACCTTCCCCTTTCTGGGATTACAGGCATGCACCACCATGCCTGGCAAACATTCACCATAGTTTTGGTCATGCTTGTACCAATATGAAAGATTTCCAGACCTGCTTCAGAAAGTGGCAAGAACTACAGAATAAATGTGCTTGAAGCAAGGGGGAATATTTTGAGGGGATTATTGAAATGTCTTTAACTGTGATAACATTTTTAAAATTTAAACATTCTTTGTATATTTTGATCATACCTTATACATGGAAAACCCAAGAATCCCAGTCAAAAAGTTCAGATGTAATTAGAAAATTGTTAAGTGGCAGAATGAAAGAGAAAATATGTGAAAGTATCTTCCTTACATGGTAATATGATAGGAAAAGATTACTTTTACAAAGTACTTTGTTTCAAAATGACTGGGGTAGGAGCTCTCTTCCCTCAAAATTATAAAACCTTATAGTGAAAGAAAAAAAGGGATGTGCTTAAATACAGATATTCCTTGAAGGTAGGAAGATTAATTAAGAGGCCATTTTAACAGTCCTAACAAGAGATACTAGAGAGCTGACTAAAAATATTGATGTGGGGATGGATGTTTATAAGACATTCAGGTGAATGGTCTGGGAGGTACTTTAATAAGTTCAGTAATTTGGAACAGAAAAGAATCAAGCCTAAAATAAATTTTTTGTTTAATCAGTAAAATTATTATTTAACAGATTGGCTTAAATGATTCTAAAACTGTCAACACCCTTAAGATTCTTATTACTAACATCCCAAGGTTATTATTATTTTTTAAAATTAATTTTATTGGTACATTTTAGGTATACAATATAATGACATTCATCATTGGAAATTTTCACCTTTACATAATCTCTCTTGGTTCTTATTTTTTCCCCATTCCCCTGCCCTCCCTTCAACCCCTCCATCCCTCCCTATTTACAAATACTTTGTTTCCATTTTTTCACTTTCTCATATTAATTCCATTCCCTTCTTTCCTTTCCCCTACCCCTTCCTCTTCCCCTTTCCCTTTGGACCTTGTCTTCCTATTTCACATTATCTATTATACCTTTTAGTCTTCATTTAAACTTTCAGTTTCTCACACCAGAGAAAGTATTCAGTATTTACACATGTGTGTCCTATTTATTTCACTTAAGAGTATTGCCTCAATGTGAATCCATTTAGCTATAAATGTCTCTACATCCCAAGATTAGATACAACAGGAATAAAATAGTGAAAAAAGTGAATTTCAAATTCATTTTTCATTGTTCAAGAATTTCTTAAACTTCAAATCAGTACCTGGTTTTTTGATACCTACATCTATACATTTTGTCTACTCGAGAAAACAATAGCAGTAGCATATTCTATAGATAATAAAATCATAAAGGTTTATCATCAGATAAAACATTATTGCAGAAGAAAATATTTTATTTTTTGCAGGTTGAAAATGTTCCTAACCTGTTCATCTATCATTCCAAACAATTTAAATGTTTTCAGACTAAATATTAGATCTTAGAACAATTCAACTTTCTGTCTTAGAAAACTGGCTCCAAAAGTTAAGCAAAATCTTCTTTGAAGATATTGCTAATTTACAATTCTTGAAGTTAAAGCTTTTTCAAAAAGGGTAAGGAAATTAAGGATTAACTATTCTTGCATTAGACAACCTGGAAGTTCATGTCAAAGCATGAGAATTAAAGCTAGCAGTTCTTATAGCTTTTTCTCATCTATAGGAAACAGAAGACAATTTTATGTGTACAAATATTTGCCTCTTGCTTGATATTTAGAAATCTCTTGGTTCTGCTAATTATGCAGTAGTGTTATTCCACATATGGTGAATCCTGAAATGAAACTTCCTAAAGCCTATTTTATGTTATGCACAAATTTAACATTCAGATAGAAGTGTGTCACTTGGACCTTTGAAAAACTCAGAAAATATCATTGTCTAGATCTGTTCCTAAATAGGCTTGGCATATGAAAGCATGCCAAAAGAGTCCAATTTGTATTTTGCAAGTATTTATCTTTGACTGATGTCTCCATGATAACAGATGTGATAAAATATTTTAAAATTTGATTATCAACTGGAATGTTAGGACAATAGATTTTACCATATATTCTTTGAAAGATGCAACCAAAAGCATTACTATCCATTGATTATAAAGGGCACATTTCCTAATATCTCACAGTATCAATTATACAGTCTTTGGGATGGAAGTCAATTTCTGTAATTTTACACCAATACCAGTAAAACATCAGTTTAATAAAAATCTAAAGAACAACTTGTTCAAGGTAATATAAAAATATGCAGTAATTGTATAGTTTGAAATTTTTATATATTCCCACAATGTAGAAAACATTACATCTAATAAAAATATATCTAGTCAGTAGAGACTAAAAAGAACCTATAAAATTTATTTCTCTTCCCACATTCATTTTTTTTGACTCCATAAGGACCCTTGCAATAGAGTGTCATTCAACATAAAGGATATATCATAGTAAGCCCATGACGTTTCCAAGATACATTCACAGAGTCTAGGTTGCCACACAAGTTTCTAAATCAGTTCTGGAAGCACAAGTCTATGCAAGATCCCACAATACTTGCTTTAGCTGGAATATGATGGTGAAGTACTACCTACCTCATAGAAATGTCCTCCAGGAATCAGTGCAGACTTCTTTTCAGCACATTTTTCAATCACCTTAATTTCTCTTATCAAATGCAATTTATTTCAGGAGTGCTAGCAGAATAAAATTAGAGAAAAATCTCTAGTATATGCAATGGTCCCAAGTACACATTCTGCTATCCAGTTGTATTTCTTTGGTTAACTGTGAGCTTACCAGAAATTCATTTTCACTTTATTTTTCTCTCAGCTCTTGTTGGAATTTTTTTTATCTTATTAGTACATGTTTGCAGTACATAATGATTACATTCACTGTAGGGAATTTATACAGTACACATACATAACACATTTCAAGTCCCCCCCTCCCCTTTTATTTTTTCAGCATCAGATTCATTTTTTATAAGTCCTTATAAAGTTAATTATCATATATACAGATTGAAAACTAGACTAACACGCCAAAGAACATATAAAACATGTAAGAGAATTTTACTGTCAAGGTACACTTTTATATACATTGTCCACACTGGATTATACCTTTTTTTCTTTCTCTTTTTTTCCTATTATCTGTTGGAAATATTTCTCAATGTGTCAATGTCCTTTCCTTCTTTAGCAGTCCCAAATCCAATTTTATCTTTATCTCAGTGAATCTGTTCTCACATAGTATGAAAGGACTTCTAAATTATCTTTTAAGTTAAATCATGCTCTTCCAGAATTCTCTGATTTGAATTAGGTTATTATACCAAAGAATTAGTCTCACTCAACTTTATGATAAATTAAAGCATTGGATAGCATTTTTGTCAAAATAAAAATGTATTAAGTATAAGCACCTGCTACCCTTTTTTGGTACTAGGATAGAGAAAATGTAGAACTTTTTTTGTTTTTGTTTTTGTTTTTTTGGTACCGGGGATCGAACTCAGGTCCTTGAGCTTGAAAGGCAGGCGGTGGAACCACTAAGCTAAATCCCCGGCCCAAGGTAGAACTTTTTTTAAAAAAAACTAACACTTAATTGTGATACGGCAGTATTTCATAGCATTCTCTAAAATAAAAATCATGACTTTAATTATTCCATTACATGATAAGTTTGAAAATTAATATCTTTTAGTTAACTGTGAACTTATTTTCCAAAACCAAAAACTAGGACTAACGGACCTGAAAAAGGATTTTTCTCATCTGTGCATTTATATATGTCTTTCAAAGGCAACAAAAATAAATCAGTGTTTTTAAGACTCAGTCTCAAATCATAATCTGTTCCTGGAGGTCAAGAAAGATTTGGGTCCACATCTCTTTTCTTTAGACTTCTAGTACATAAAAATCAAATGTGGAAACAGGTTACAAAAAGCTATATAGTTTCAAAGTTTATAGATAATACACACACAATCCAATGCAATTATCTTACTCACAAATTACAATATTTATTAAAATTTATTAATTCATAGAACAACCACAGCCATGAGGTCCAATAAGTCGACATGAGTTAAGTCCTATGATATTGTCTTTTACTCTAAGCTGAAGAGGTATTTTTGTGTCTCATTTAGAGAGGAAATCAAGTTGGAGGCCTTTTCTGAAAGTAAGGCCAAAGGCCCTCCTGCCCATTTCCCCACATAAGTCCTGCTCAGCACTCTCCAACATAAACCTCAAGTACGGCAAGATTAAGTTCTTACATTCTCTGTCCCTCTGTCTTTTGATTTTTGCATCTTCTCCTAAGGGAAAGCATTCCATGTTTCAAAGCCTGATTCACACTTGACATCTTCTAGGAAGCTTTTTCTGACTATCCTTGATCTCCAGGTTACTTAAGTGCCAATTTCTGTTCATTAAATTCTGCCTTCACATGTTATCTTTCCTCCTATCTTAAAGTCAGCCTTAGACCTGGGGGATAGACTTCTTTATGTCGCACCAACCTTGACAGACCACTCAGTAGGCATTCAATAAATAATATGCTGACCCACACTTGATACGAAACAAGCACTGCTTTCCAACGATTAAAAAAAACATAATGGTTTTCTACCTCTTTATTTCTGTGATGGGAATGACTGAAAAATGGGGCAAGCTCTAGGGGCAAATCCCAGGGGATTTGGGACTCTGACCCAAAGGACGCTATGGGTCTGCGTCCCTGTCCCTCTTGCCACACCATCCACTTGCCCTGGGTATCTCGGCCCCTGCACTGCTCCAATACAAATTCGAGAGAGTCTGAGGGAAAGCTCACAAGGCTCTTCACGACCAGCGCGTCATTCACCCGAGTGGATGGTGCACACCTGTTGTGTCCTGGAAGCGATGGAGCGGGGGACTGTGAGTGGATGATTAGGCAAGGGCAACCGGTGCCAACTGGTAGTTCCAAAAGCACGAACCGGGCTGGTGGCCCTGGAGCATGCGCGGTCCGGCCTGGGCCAGCCCCCAGGGCCTTGTGCGCCTTCCAGAATCTTCTGGGCCGCGTGTCTGTTCCTCAGTTCTCCTTTCCTGTGGGTGGAATTGAGGAGTGAGTGAGCTGCTCCAGCTCTCCACTCTGCACGTGTGCCTGATGTGCTCATCAATCTTCGGTGTGGCCTCCGGTGTACAGTACCTCAGTGACAGGAGCTGCCCCCCCCCGGGGGGGGGGTTGTTAAGAGGCTCAGAGCGAGGTTGCAAAGGTGAGAGGGGCCCCAAACCTCTCGGCCTCCCAGCACTATGCTTTCACTGAGTGGGGGGCCCTCGCAGTCAAGGCCGAGGTGTGGCAGCCTGGGAGCGACTCCCCAGTCACCTGGGCCATTCTGGTGGAGGCGCTGTTTGACTTAAGGTGGCTGGAATGTGGCATCCACAAAAGCCCTGTCAGTATGCAAGCGGTTTTTGTTTTTTGCTCCCCCCTCCCCGAGATTGCTATTGGCGCAACAAATTTAATATTTTTATAAGCGTCTTAAAATAGGGAGTGCTCACTCACTCGTGTAGTGTCATAATTGTTTAATAAATGGGACAACTTACATTTGATTTTGTTTTTATTTTCCCTAGTGTCTCAACTCAAGTTGAAATACTAAGTTGAATATTTATGTGGTTTAAAACTTGTGTTGGGAAACGGCTAGGGATAAAGTTAGGGAATTTGCTAGTGTGGAGCATAGCATACTCCCAATGTGTATGCTGACCGTTCATTCAAATACTCGACAAATGTTTAATAGCTGCCTTCTGTGTCAGGTGTAACACTTGGTGCTATAATTCTAGAGAAAATGAATAAATAACAAGGGCAGCTGTAGCAGTTTGTGGGGGTTGCGGCACAAAGTCCCTCCATCCCAGTGTGGGGAACCAAGTACTATCATATATGATTCTTATCAGATATGGGGTGAATTTAAGCTGGGGCCTCTTTTTCTAATGTAAATATTCATAATTTATTTACGTAATTCACCTTTAAAAATTTCAGTTACCTTGTATGAGCCTATTATGAGTTTTTAAGCTTTAGTTCTATATTCTGAATGCACATATTATGTTAAAATAAAAATATTATTAATCTTTGTGTTCTGATATTCGAGACTCGAGTCTCTTAGAATTTAAAAAAGATTTAAATAGTACTGTGACTGAAACTAATACTAGCATAGCCTTAGTGACCAAAATAAAGTTTAGTGTCTCTGACAGTTTGGTACTGAGACAATATTAGGAAAATTTCATTTGAGATCAGTAAATCCTACCCTGCTTCCAGTTTTTGTCATACTTGGTAGCAAGGGAGAGAGGCATCTTCTCCTAAGGGAAAGCATTCCATGTTTCAAAGCCTGATTCACACTTGACATCTTCTAGGAAGCTTTTTCTGACTATCCTTGATCTCCAGGTTACTTAAGTGCCAATTTCTGTTCATGCACTGGAGCAGGTACACTAAGGCAAGGGAGGTAGAGAGAGCCTGACACAGGAAGGCAAACAGAAGGAGACTCACTGGACCAAAATCCTGTATCAGTGCTGTTTAGAAAGGGAAGCTGGACTGCTCCTGGACCACGTCACCCCTCACACCCAGATCTGGTATACACACCATCATGGGAAAGGTTCAGGCTCCCTGAGAGAGAAAGCTGGCATTTCAAGGACAGCAAGGATGAACTTCTCAATCTTCCTACCCTCCCCACCAGGAATAAAAACACAGCAGTGTCAGAGAAACTGGAAACCAATGAGTGGTATATGAGAGGATACCAGTGCACAGTTTGAAAACATGTTCACCATTCCAGTGCCTATGCCAACAAGCACTGTCTGTGACTGGTGGGACCCTGGGGAGAGAAGAGACCAATCCAACCCAGAAGTAAGTACTTGACGGTTCCTTCCCCAAACAGTGGGAGTGTAATGCCTACTGGACATCCAGTACATTGTCCACCATTCACCAGTAGGAACCCACATAGAAGTCACCAACAACCTCTGCCAAGGGTTGCTGAATGCAGTGAGCTTGGGATTCTACTAAGTTCATGGGTTAGAGAGTGATATTTGGGGAGAGTGACTAAGGAAGGTCTATAGGCAGAGAGATAAAGGCCCTGTCTTCTAGTCCTTAAATTGTTCACTTCTGCTGCCCATACTTTCAATATAATTTTTAATCTCCTCAGTTTCTGTTTAGTATCATTTTTATGAACCCCAGTTGTTTTCTATGCTGGTCATTAATGTTTTATGTCATTTTGTTTAGCTCAGCTAGTTTTTATTATTGTCTTCTGTAGATTGCTGATCATTTTTTAAATTAGGTACACCATCTGTTAGTTATATGTTCATTGGGCTCTCTAAGAAGCTTATTAATCTGTTTTGTTATCTCCTCTTATTCTTTTGAATAATTTGGCTTGTGGCTTTTGATTTCCTCTCCTTTAATGCACTATAGATTGTCTTTAGGGAGTTGAGAGCTCTTGGAGGCATTTTGTAGTCTTGTATTCTCATGTTTCTTATATATTTTATGTTTGTTTTTTATGCTGAAACTTGTAGCTTCATTATAAGTGGAAAGCTTTGTTGCTAGCATGGAGACTTCTTTAGTTAATGTTAATGTCTGCTTTTCAGCAGTCCCCTCTGGATGTGGATCCAGCCACCTTTATTTGAGAGGGAAGCCTGCAGCATATTTGGCCCAGTACCCAGTCCTCAGGAATGGACTACAGATTTGTTAATGACACAAAGGCAATCCAGATATTGGCATTCAGAGAAAACCAATTACAGTGGTAGCTCAGCTCATGAACAATTTGGTTCACAAACAGAAGCTTTTGGTACAATTTTGTTTTTGTTTGCAAACTCTGTATCAGGTGACAAACATGACTGTGGCCATCTTTCCTACATAAACATAAATGTGGCCATCTTTTCCAAAATTTTAGAACAAACTAAGTTTGTGAACCGAAGTATCCCTGTAATAGCAACAACTATGTCAACTTGGGTATAATAATGAAAATTAGCAACAATAAAATCATCAAAGACAAACTGAATATTGACATACCCTATGAACCAATAATATACCTCATTACACATTGAAAAGAGTTCTATAATTATAGTATAAACACCAAGACAAACCAAATATTTACCTACAGTAAATATTTACTGAATGGAACAACTTTACCTTCTGTAGCAACAGAACAGTATTAAACAGTAATGGCATAAATTTAATTAGCTGTGCAAAGATTCATAAAGCTTAAGAGTTAACAACTAAAGGTAGATGGGTGGGGAAACAGAATGAAAAAGTAAAATTTTAAAAATTAATAGATGAGAAGGAGAGTAAAATAAGTTGGAGAGTCCTACTGAGGAGTAAAGGGAAATTAATAATACTAGAAAGGAGTCACAGAAAAGAACAACATGAAAAGGAAGAAAAAAGAAAAGCAGCAAAATACTGAAAGTAAAAATAAGAAAGAAGAATAGAGAATAAAGTTAAAAGGGAAAAAGAAAAAAAGCACAAAAAAGGGAGAAAACCCTCCAAACTCCCCCCAAAAAAACTGAAGGAAGGAGAAAATTTAAAAATACAAAAAGTTTTAAAAATTGAGTAAAAACAATTCTTCTGTGTGTGTGTGTGTGTGTGTGTGTGTGTGAGTGTGTATGTGTCTGTCTGTGTTTTGCAGGGAGGAGTACTGGGGATCAAACTTGGGACCTTGTCCTTGCAAGGCAGGCAGTGAAACCACTGAGCTAAATCCCCGGCCCTCTTCTGTGTTTTTGAATGAGTGATACCTTTCCAGGATCAGCAGACTTGGAATCCAGCAAAAGGCAAAATCAAGTGTCATTGCATAGATTCCTTGTTAAAGTAGCATGAAAAGAAAAAGATTCCTTTGACCCAATAGAGCAGTGATTCTGTTAGTGATAGTGAAAGTCAACCTACATAATAACCCTCCTCTCTCTTCTCCCTCACACCAGCCATGAAGGTTTTCAAAGGTAAGTGCAGGCCAATTTGTTACTTTTCTTTATATTTTGTATTTTCTTTATTATTTTATATTATATTACAGTATTGTGATCATTTTATATGAATATTTTTGAGTTGTGTAGTGAATTGAGTTTCTGTTATTTCTTGTGGGGAAATGTGCTTTGATATACAAATGTTTTGGATTACAAGCATGTTTCTGGAATAAATTGTACTCACAAACCAAGGTTTTACTGTACTGCTTTTATTTTTTTAAGTAATACCCAAATGTTTAATGACTAATGGCAATGACTTAGTTTTAGTTTTGGTAAAGGCTTCACCATAGATCAGAATACCTTAGAGGTAATATGGCCACATCAAAGTCTTCAGTGATTTCCTTTGATCTGCATGACTAGAGCTACTAAACTTCAAAGCTAGTAAACTAGAATATATCTGGGATTAATCTCAGGCCAACAAATCCTACTTATGGACAGCATAGCCTTAGCAGAGATTTCTCTTACCACCACCAGTACTGTAAGATTTCTTATTTTTTTATTCCCCCAGATCTAGAATTCCTTCCTTTCTCTCCCAGTCTGTTAGTCCCTCTGTGTTCCTTTTATATCTCTTGATCTACCTGATTGATCATGTCAGTGCTGCTTTCCAAACACAACTTTATTAAATTCATTCCCCTGATAGTCATTTTCCTTGTACCTTTTTTTTTTTTTTTTTTTTTTTTTGGTACCAGGGATCGAACTCGGGTCCTTGAGCTTGCTAGGCAGGCGGCGAAACCACTGAGCTAAATCCCCGACCCTCCTTGTACCTTCTTGATGCAGAGCAAATTATATACTCTAAATAATTACAATATTCTTTACCTACCTGCACGACTGCTCTGAATTAAACAATTTTTTTTTGGTACTGGGGATCAAACTCGGGACCTTGCGCTTGCAAGGCAGGTGGCAGAACCACTGAGCTAAATCCCCAGCCCTAAGCAAATTTTATACCCAGAAATGTAACAAGAAAAAAAGCACTTTTTTGGGTAAATGAACATGAGAAAATGGATGAAATTGGTGCCTGATTTCCAAGTGTGCTAGCTGTAGGGAAACATTTCAGACCAGAGCTATTTCTAGAGAAGTGGCTTGTGGCAATGCATTGCTAATGCCTCCTTATCAATCGCTATTAGGCAAGAGTAGAAAAGTAACGCTGGTTTCAGGGTTTCAGGCTGATAGGAATACATATGATCCCAACCATAAGTTGATGAAAAGAAAAAAAGTGGATCTCTAAGAAGTGGGAGGGAGCTAGTAGGAAAACTAGAAACTTAAAGTACTAGAGACCTCTGCAGTTAGGGTCCAGTATCCTGCCCAGTATATGATACAGGCCTGAGAAAAAAACCTAAAAGACAGAAAGAAGAGAGAGAGAGAAAGCAGGGTGCCAGGATGACCAATGCCAGTGCAACCAACAAAGGTGCTGGCCAGTCCCAGGCACTGATTTTTATTGGCAATTGGGGTAAAAAGCAGGCTACATGCAAAGGCAGGACTGCTTGTGGCTTCTATGGAAATTGATGTAAACAAGACTCATAAAGGACAAGACAAAGCACTCTCAAATTAGGAACAGAATAGACAAAATATATGGTTATAGTTAGAACATTGTCCTCCTAGTAAGAAAGTTTTAGTTGTGGGAATGGAATTTTTTGTGAGTTACTCTGACCTTGGCACGTAGGCTTCAGCCTGACTCATTTCTATAAACAAGCCAATTGTAGGGTTAACTCTTCACAGCCTGCTTTTGACATAATCAATATTTTTCAAAGATTTTTTTCAACAGAAAAGCTGGAGAAATAGAGCACCATACAGAGAAAAGAATGAAGCAGTCTGGAAAGCTCAACCTGGCTCCCAGGTTTCTGCAGGCACAAGGTGAGTCAGGAGAGGGTTGGCAGGTCCAGGGAGAAACAACAGGCCAGGCCAGCAGTGCTAGCCCCAAGAAAAGCCCATTACTTGTGGGGTTTCACTCAGAAAGTGACTCCTTCTGCATGGCAGGCTAGAGTTGAAAAAGAAATACCGGGCAGCACCCGCCATATTTGAGAAGGTTTAATCAAGAGCCATTTTGAGAAGGGATTAATTGTTTAAGACTAAGCCACAGAACAACTTCACTTCAGGGTTTCTGGTGTTACCCAACCATACTGATTTGAGGAGAGATGGCTACAAGAGACAGTTACAGAGTGGGTATAGGTGAGACATACACCCCTTGGGAAGTTTAAGCTCAGGCTGGGAAGAACACTGGGCTCCCTGTCCTCCATGATGAGAAGCCAGGCCTAATGTGTGTGGCCTTCAGAAGCAGGTGGATCTAAAAGTGCTGGCATTAGTCAAGTGGTCTGTTAGAACCCCCACCCCACTGCCTACATCTAGCACACATTATCAGTGGTCTGATTGTTTTCTGCATCTACCAACAGAATAAGGATGTGGCTTGGATGGTAGCCACAGCCTAGGGTGTATGGAGAGAGGAGTTTCCAGAGCATAGGGGGCACTTCACAAACCCACAGGCCATAAAGATAGGTGATTAAAACCATGACTTGGAGGGGCGGGGATTTAGCTCAGTGGTACCAGCACCTGCCTTGAAAGCTCAAGGTCCCAAGTTCGATCCCTGGTACCAAAAAACCCCCCCAAAAACCCCCAGCAAAACCACGACTTGGAGTGCACAGAGGAAAACAAAAAGTGAGAGTTGCCAGAGTGACTGCAGCTTTAAGGTGGACACCATTGACTGAAAGTGGTAAAAGTGGAAAAGGAAGGGAGGGTTCAGGGTTTGTGCCCCAAAATATGAGTGTGGAAATAAAATTGGTCTTAGCAGTAACTATTCCTCCCCATATCTGCTGGATTCCAAGACTGCAGAATCTGGAAGGAAACCACCAATTCAAAAACAGAGGAATTTTTTTTGGACTAATTTCCTTTTTATTTTATTTTTTGATTGGTTCTCTGAGGCTGGGAGGTCCTTTTTATTCTTTTTTCTTTACTTTGCTTTTTTCTTATTTTTCTTGATCTTTCTCATTACTTTTATCTAATTCTATTAATTTTCTTTTACTCCTTAATAGGATACTTGATCTCACCTTTCTCTCCTGCTTCTCATCTTCCATTGCTTAATTTTTCAAATTTTATTTCTTTTATTCTCCCATTCCTCAGTTCCCTCTATCTTCACTGGTGCACCCATTAAGCTTTATTTATCATAAGATAGTTAACTATGCTGTTGCTGTTGAATTCTTTTCTATAATTGGTGGAAGTATAGTTGTTGCATTTAGTACTTTCCTGCCAGCTTGAACTACTAGTAGTACAAGTATGACTGTCTTATTGGGCAGCTTGTATCACTGGTGGTACAACTGGATCTAATGATTTTTTTAATCTTTTTATTAATAAAAGATTATAAATGGACCAAATCTAGTTAGTTGCTTGAATTTGAACAATTACTACCCTTATATAAATATTAATTAGTTATTTATATTTGTGAATTTCCTTAAAACATTTTATACATAAAGGCAGTTGATCCATGCAAAGTGTGTGAAACATCATAATACATTTGGCTTTTTTTTTGTAGCCATAGGGGCACCAATTTTTTCAGATAATTTTCAATAATATTCCCTACATTGGTTGAGTGCATTTCTTGCAAACCCTGCATTAACTTCTATAAAGTGAATCTTTTTCAAGTAATTTGTGCTCGTGGCATTTATTCACAGATTAATAGTTTATTAATAATTAATTAACAAGGAGCTAAATTTTAACAAGGAGCTCTTAACAAGTACCCCACTGCTGGTATATATAATATGCATTCACAACTGCTATACCACAAATTAGCTATATTACAATTTTTATACCATTTTAATGTTTTCCTTAAGGAACTGTAATATGATGACACATGATTTGCTAAATCAGTGCCTTTCTTTGCATTATTATAATCAAAGACAAGATCAGGTATAATGTTTCCAGGTTTTCCTTTGAACAATGTACATGTATAGTATTTTTTTATTAAATTCTTTTATTGGTACATTGTAGGTATACAACACAACTACATTTCTCATTGGGAATTGTACCTTTACATAATCCATCTTGGTTCTCATTTTTTCCCCATTCCTAGCCCTCCCTTCACCCCCTCCACCCTTCCCTATTTACAAAGACTTTATTTTCATTTTTTCCATTTCTCATCA